ATATATAACCATTAAGTCAACAGTGGAGATAAAACAGAATCATAAAACATACTGAGTATATCCAAAAACAGAGAAAGAGAGGAAAAAAAATCAACAAGAAAAAAAGAAAACAAATTCCAAGACAGTAGTATTAAATCTAATAGCATCAATACATAAAGTATAAATGATCTAAACACTCCCAATGAAAAGATAAAGAATATCAGATTAAATTAAAAACCAAGACCCGATGCTGTCTATAAGAAATCTACTTCAAATATAAAGATATACATATAGTTTAAAAGGAAAAGGAAAAACTTCCAGCTTCCAGTCTGACACGTAAAGAACTTGGAAAATATCACTCTCATCCTCACAACAACAACAAAAAAGCTAACTAAATGAAAACCAATAATACTTCTTAGGTCCAACACAGAATTGAGGTCACAGGGCAAACCACCACCCAGGAAACTGAAGAAACAGGTGAATATAGAGAATCACAGCTTACCAGAAGCAGCAACTGGTAGGAAAACTTAAAGAGTAATTGCTAACTGACTAATTGCTGGCCACTGACCATGGATGAGGTTGAGATAAAAAAACTCCTAGAAGCCCTACCTTAGGAAGAGCTTTACCTTTTCATGAATTTTACCTAGGAGCCCCATCAGGTTCCCTTCAGGGTAAAGATCAAAGAAAATTCTCCAGTGCTTCCTGCAGAGGGAGGGGGGAAAGTAATCATTGTGAAATACACCCAGCGCATTCTGCTCTCTTTAACGAAGACCTGACTTCTAGGAAAACTGCTTTAGAGTCTAACCAACATGGGTTTTACTAGAGCCTAATTGACATGGGGGAAGGAAAATACTCAACTCTAGACTCCTCTAGCCTTCCTGTCTCTCACATAAGTTAGGGGATGGGGGAGTGAGAAGCACCTGTAAAGGTCACAGCCATGGACACAGGCCCACTAAAAGACTAAGATCTAGTCACAGGATATAGAACACTTCTGTTCCCCCTACAACTTACCATGGTATCAATAGGGCTCCTATATAATACCAGGAGATTACAATCCAAAGAACTATAAACTTATACTCCATTTAATTAGTCTCTAAGGAAATCCAAAAATAACAAGGCAAACAAAAACAAGATACCTGGGGCACCTGGGTGGCTCAGTCGTTAAGCGTCTGCCTTTGGCTCGGATCATGGTCCCAGAGTCCTGGGATCGAGCCCCGCATTGGGCTCCCTGCTCGGCGGGAGGCCTCCTTATCCCTCTCCCAAATCCCCCTGCTTATGTTCTCGCTCTCTCTCTCTGTCAAATAAATAAAATCTTAAAAAAAAAAGGATACCTAAACAATTTTAAATTCTGAATCTTAGCCTTTATCCCAGGCAGAAAATCAGTAAATCAGTTGAACAGAATAGCACCATCAGCTTGATCAAATTGACATTTATAGATTAGTTTATCCGGTGACAACAGAATATACAAGCTTCTTAAGAATACACAATTCCTGTCATGCTCATGTATAATGTTCACAAAAATGGGCCACATTCTGGCCTATAAAACATACATAAACAATTTAAAAGAATAGAAATCACAAAATATGCTTTCAGAACACAATAGAATTAAACAAGAAATCACTAACGGAAAGATAACTGGAAAATCCAAAATATTTGGAGATTAAACAACTTACAAATCAAGGAAGAAGTATCAAAAGAAACTGTAAAATATTTGAAACTGAATGAAAAAATTAAAATTACCAGAAATTGTAGAATACAGTGACAGCAGTGCTTACAGAGAATTTATAGCTTGGGAGTATGTATGTTAGAAAAGAAGAGAGATTTAGAATCAATAATCTAAGCTTTCACCTTAAAAAACAAGAAAAAGAAGAGCAAATTAAACCCAAAATAAGCAGAAGAAATAATAAAAATCAGAACAGAAATCAATGAAACTGAAAACATGTAAGTTAAAAGAGAAGAAGTCACTGAAACCACAAGCTATTTTTTGAAAGGTTAAGATCAAAATCAATAAACCTCTAGCCTGGCTAACCAAGAAAAAAAGAGAGAAGACACAAATAACTGATATCAGAAACAAAAGAGGGGCCATCCCTACTAATTGCGTGGATAATAGAAAGGAACATAAAAGAGTATTATAATAAACAATTCTATTCCCACAAATTTAATATCTTCAATAAAATGGACCAATTCCCTGAAAGACACAATCCAACAAAATTCACACAAGGAGAAATAGATAATCTGAATAGTCCTACATCTATTACAGAAATTGAATAAAAAAATTAATAACCTTCCAAAAGAAATCATCAGGGCTAGGTGTTTCACTAGTGACTTCTATCAAACATGTAAGGAAGAAATAATACAAATTCTCTATAGTCTCTTCAAGAAAACAGAACAGAGGAAATATCTCCTAACTCATTCCATTAGGGCAGCATTACCTAATACCAAAACCAGACAAAGACATTACAAAGAAAGTGAAAGAACAGTATCTCTCACGAACACAAATACAAAAATCCTCAAGAAAATACTAGCAAATAGAAACCATATATAAAAAGAATTATATACCACAACTAAGTAGGATTTATTCCAGGCATGCAAAGCTGGTTCAACATTCCAAAATTAATTAATGTAATCCTCCATATCAACAGGCTGAAGAAGAAAAAAAAATATGATATCAATAGAGAAAGCATTTGACAAAATCCAACATCCATTCACACGGAATTTATCAGCAAACTAAGAATAGAAAGGAAACTCCTCAACTTTATCTATCCATGAAAAAACCAACAGCTAACACCATACTTCATGGTGAGAACCTAAGAGCTTTCCCATTGAGGTCAGAAATAAGAAGGATGTCCCTCCTCACCATTCCCCTGCAATATCATATTGGAAGACTTACCTAACACAGTAAGACAGGAAAAGGAAATAAAAGGTATAGATTGGGAATGAAGAAATAAAAACAAATTCTACTCCTACAAATTCTACAGAATTTTACTCCTAAGTATTTACCCCAAAAAAGAAAACAAATGTCCACACAAAAATGTGTACATGAATGCTTACAGCAGCTCTATCCATAATCACCTAGTATGGGAAGCAATCTTGGTTAACTATTGCTGCATTACAATTACCCCAAAACAGCAGTTTAAAATACCAAACATGCAGGGCGCCTGGGTGGCTCAGTTGGTTAAGCGACTGCCTTCGGCTCAGGTCACGATCCCGGAGTCCTGGGATAGAGTCCCACATTGGGCTCCTGGCTCAGCGGGGAGCCTGCTTCTCCCTCTGACCCTATCCCCTCTCATGCTGTTTCTCTCTGTCTGTCAAATAAATAAATAAACAAAATCTTAAAAATAAATAAATAAATAAATAATAAATAAATAAAATACCAAACAAGCATTATTTCACAATTTCTATGAGATAGAAATTTGGGAGGAGCTTGATTGAGCACTTTGGCTCAGGGATGTTCAGGAGTTTGCAGTCAAGTTAGCTGAAGGAATTATCTGAAATCTTGACTGGGGCTGGAGGATCCATTCTAAGATGGCTTGCTCATATGCTGTTGACAAGAGGGCTCAGTTCCTCATGGGCTACTGTCAGGAGGCCAGAGTTCCTTGCCACACAAACCTTTCCACAGGGCCCGTTGTTTCCTCACAAAATGGCAGCTGGCTTCCCCGAGTGAGTAATCCAAACGAGAACAAGGCACAGTAACAATGTCTTTTATCAATCTAATCTCAGAAATCACACACTACCACTTCTGCCATATTCTACTAGTTCCAGACACCAATCCTGACAGTGCAGGAGAGGTCAACAGAAGGTCACGAATACCAGGAGATAAGGATCACTGGGACCATTTTGGAAGCTGGTTACCACAAACCTAAATATCCATTAACTGGTGAATAGATAAACTATGGTACATCCATACAGTGGAATAGTAATCAGCAATAAAAAGGAACAAACTACTGATACACATAACAGCATAGAAAAAATCACAAATACTAAGTGAATGAGCCAGAGCCAAAAAGCTACATACAGTATGATGTGTTACGCTCTGGGAAAGGCATAACCAAAGGGATACAAAACAGATCAAAGGTTGTCAGGAGCTAGGAAGGGGGCAGAAGACTGACTACAAAGGGGCATGAGGGAATTTCTTTGGATAATGGAAATATTCTATATTTGATTGTGATAGTGGTTATATGATCATATGTGTTTGTTAAAATTCATACAACTATACACCTAAAAAGGACAAGTTTTATTGTAAATAAATTATACCTCAAAAATTACTGATAAAAAGAGAGCTAAAGGAATCTTGAGGGGAAAAAAAGAGGTTTGGTTGGGAATATTTCTATAGGAGTCTTAATGTGTAAATAACAAGTTTCCAAAGGAAAAGTGACAATTAAACCAATAACATTATAATTAAAGTTCCTTAAGATAAAAAACTTTCTCTGAGCTTAAGTCTACAGATTCAAAGTGCCCATCAAATTGTAAGTTAGACAGATGAGAAAAGATACACATGTATCTTGGCATATCCTGGCAAAAGTCTTAAACTTTAAGAATAGAAAAAGTTTAAATGCTTTCCAGAAAGAAAGAACAAGTCACTTAGAAAAAAAGAGAGATAAGCTTAGGACTTCTTATTTGTAACAAAAAGGAAATGGTGAAATAGCACCCACAAATTTTTGAGAAAAGGACTGCCACCCAAAAATTCTATCCCAACCGAGAGTAAAATAAAATTATTTAGGAATGCCAAATCACTCAAAAAATGTATCACCCACTTATCCCATCTAGAGAAATAGCCAACAAAAAATGCTCACCAAATAACTAAATCATTGCAGAGATAGAGGAGGATAAAAGAAGAGACCTTATGAAATCTGAAGTGGATATTAGTAAAGCAATTGGGAACAAATATATAACAAATGAAAACTCAAATTTATTTTAGCATTAAAATCAAGCATCTAAACAAAAAAGAATATTAAAGTCAGTCTAGCGTGCGAGGAAACTGTAAGTAGTTACTACAACTTTTTTGTTTTGTTTTGATTTACCTGGTTTACAAGATGAGAGTGACCAAACAGCTTGTGACCCAATTTCCCGTACTGTTCCAGTCCTTTCCAATTGCTTAGGGTCAGCACCAGGAGGTGTCTTGTTTGGTGTGGTCATTTTTTAAATATTCTATGTAGAAAACAAGAATATCCACATTATACCAGGATCTGAGCATCTTCTACAAAGGGTAAAAATTAAAATTTAACAGCAAAATATATCACTTATATACCCTTGATATTAACCATCTATTTCTCAAATGCAGGTAACATAACTCAATTACTATAATTAAAAAATCTTGGGAATTCAGTTTGTGTTTCTAAAATATATTATGACTTACAAGATGTGCAAAACAGTAGAGTAGCCAAAGGGTATGGGATCAGCCTCTCCTTTAGCCTAGACTTTGGGCAGGTCTGGGTTTTATTTCCTTACCTGTAATAGGGGTCAACTTGATCTATAATTCTATAATGCTGTATAATTCTATACCTGAATAAAAAAAAATTTTTTTTAAAAGCTTTTATTTTTAAGGGGCACCTGGGTGGCTCAGGCAGTTAAGCGGCTGCCTTTGACTCAGGTCATGATCCCAGAGTCTTGGGATTGAGCCCCATGTGGGGCTCCCTGCTCAGTGGGGAGCCTGCTTCTCCCCCTACTCTGCCCCTCCCCCTGCTTGTGCTCTGTCTCTCTCTCTCTCTCTCTGTCAAATAAATAAATAAAATCTTAAAAAAAATAATAAAGATTTTTAAGTCATCTCTACACCTGACATGGGGCTCAAACTCACAACCCTGAGATCAAGAGTTCCACGCACCATCAAATGAGCCAGTCAGGCTCCCCTCTGAGTAAAAATTCTTAATTCAAATGATTTTTTTTCTGTAGAAAAGTTAAATTGAAATATTCTTATTCCAGGAATATGTAAATATTAGTTTCCATTTTACTTATTTTGGATGTAAATTTACTTCAATAATTTATTTTTTTATTAAAGTATAATTAACACAGTGTTATATTAGTTTCAGGTGTACAATATGATTCAACAATTCTATACATTTCTCAGTCCTCATCACAGTAAGTCTACTCTTTTTTTTTTTAATTTTTATTTTTAAGTAATCTCTACACCCAACGTGGGGCTCAAACCCACAATCCCTAGATCAAGAGTCCCACCCTCCACCAATGAGCCAGCCAGGTGCCCCACAATAAGTCTACTCACAATCCCCTTTATCTGTTTCACCCATTCTCCCACCCACCTACCCTCTAGCAACCACCAGTTTGTTCTCTGTATTTAAGAGTCTGTTTATTTTGGGGCGCCTGGGTGGCTCAGGTGGTTAAGCATCTGCCTTCGGCTCAGGTCATGATCCCAGAGTCCTGGGATCGAGTCCCGCATCGGGCTCCCTGCTCCTTGGGAGCCTGCTTCTCCCTCTGCCTCTCTCTCTCTCTCTCTGTTTCTCATGAATAAATAAATAAAATCTTTAAAAAAAAAAAGTGTTTATTTTTTTGTTTGTTTTGTTTCTTACATTTCACATATTAGTGAAATCATATGGTATTTGTCCTTCTGTATCAGATTTATTTCACTTTGTCTTATACCCTCTAGGTCCACCCATGTTGTTGCAAATGGCAAGACCTCATTCTTTTTTATGGCTAATATTTCATTGTGTGTGTGTACATCTTCCTTCTCTATTTATCTACTGATGAACATTTGTGTTGCTTCCACATCTTGGATAGGGTAAATAATGCTGCAGTAAATGCATGGGTGCATATACCTTTTTGAATTAGTGTTTTTGTTTTCTTTGGGTAAATTACCCAGTAGTGGAATTAGTGGATTATATGGTAATTCTATTTTTAATTTTTTGAAGAACCTCCATACTGTTTTCCACAGTGGTTGCACCAATTTGTGTTCCCTCCAACAGTGCACAAGGGTTCCCTTTTCTCCAACAGCCTTGCTAACATTTACTTCTTGTCTTTTTGATTCTAGCCATTCTGACAGGCATAACGTGATTATCTCACAAGAGAAACATGAAAAGATATTGAACATCACTAATCATCTCTGATGAGATATAGGTCTCCATTTTAAATAATCCATTAAGTGATACAGAGAAAAATCACTTCTCCCAAGTTGTCAAAAGTTCCATTTACATGACGTAGAAGATAATGTCAGAAAAATTGTTTCAAAGCATAGAAGTGAATAAACGACCCATTCTAAACCCCAAAATTTACTTCTTTTGTTAATCTTGGTAAATCTATGCAGACATGAAAATAAAATCTCCAGTAGTGAACACTATGTAAAACAGCTTAGGTAGTACAAAGTTACAGATACTGAACATGGTTATATATGCTATTATAAACCTGGCCCAGTAGTTCAGTATACCATCTCCCTGACACCTTTTAGATCTCAGTTGTTTCCTAATCTCCACACAGCACTTGATACTCATTAAATAATAGTAGAGCCACTAGACTGTAAAATTCAGAAAGGCCTGAGACTTAAATGCTCAATTAGCAATTTACTGAATGAATAAATGAATAAGTGCAGTCATAAGCTTAAGTATTTGCTTCTGCAAGCTAAGGACTAGGATGAGACAAGTAAACCTGTGACTATCACTACAAGCTGAATATCCTGTCGTTGTCAAACGTTCCAAAACGTCAAACTGTACCAAAAAAAAAAGGGAGGAAAAGAAAATAGCTCATCTCTACACTGGAGCAGAAATCAACTGCCCGACTTGGTACTGGACGCCACCCAGTGGATAAAACACGGAACTCGGAAAAGCCTGGGTTCCTAGCCACCCACTTAAGAATGAGTTGAGGCCAACGAAAGATCGCCATCACCAGCAGTATTTGGACCAGACTCTGCTGGTCCTGCTTGATACCTCTGCTAGAAATGCTAGAATGGGCCAATCGCTCTCCAGCGGCCTTGAAATCGGGAGCGGAAAACGGGATTGAGAATGGGGATGAGAACGCGTCTGCTTACGCTAGAACCATTCTCCACATCGGGGGAAAAAAGCCCACGCACTTACAGCTTACAGACCCGGCTTGCCGCAACCCAGCTTTTTAGGATACCCTGCAGCTCCGTGCCACTCCCACTCAGGACAGCCCGGCTTTCCCAACGACGTTAAGTTGGAGTCGCAACACAATGACGTCAGTTCTCGCCGGCTTGCCGGACCAACTCCAGGGCTCCGCCTGTCGCTCTCTGTTGCGCGCGCGCACTACGTCCCTAAGGCATGCGCGAGGCGGTGGCTAAGCACCGCCATTTTGGCCGGTGGCCGTAGGAGCACGCCGTGTGGGTGAGAAGTGAAAGGAAGAACTGATTTGGCCTCTGAGCTCCCCTCTGCGAGGGGATCGTTTTCTCCAGGTACGTAACTAGCCAGGGAAAGTTTGGCCGTTGGCTGCGGCCTCACACGATTTAAAGACTGTAGGGATGTTCTCTGAGAGCCTTTGGTGAGGCCTCCGGTGGCGGCGGCGGAGAACGCAGCGGCGCGTGGCAGCCGGCTCGGAAGGGACAGCTGGAACCGCCAGAACGGGGGCACCGCCGAGGGCTCGGAGGCACGTCGCTCTTCCCCTCCAGCTGACCTGGACCTCGGCCGCTGTTGCTCGCCACCCGCGCAGGGGCTACCAGAATGGACTTGGATGCCATCTCAGAGATGCAGACTCCACCGTCTCCACTCCCCCTTTACTACGCTCTTGCCCGAGAGCTGACAGAGAAGGCAACTTCAGAACTTCAAGCATCCTCTTTTTCCCCCATCCTTACCCTGACACAGTGAAATGGACATATTGTCACACATGCGTATTTGATATAGGAAATCGTGGCCTTTTCTTCCACGGCTTCTCTGGTGATTATGGAATGAGTCATGGCATTTTGCCGCCATGAAGTCGAATCCTTCTTACCCGTTCCCCCTCTTTATAGAAATGATGGGCAGTTGTCGCTCTACTTTTCTCATAGAGCAACGTGTATTCGGTTTTCCCAAGTAATCTCCCAGTTCAACGACTATAGCTTTTTTGGTGCGCTTTTATAGTACTTGGCACTTTCTTCTTGGTGACTTGTTTTCCCTGTCTTTATATAAACTGCATGAGATGAGGAGCGCAGCAGTTCCTACCTTGTAGACACGGTGGCCAAAGCCAATACCCACATCCGATAAACTACATAAACCTACTTTTTTTTTTTGTGGTAAAGTCCATAAGAGTGAGAAATAACTGTCAAAACAATGAGGAGGGGTGTGGGAGGGGTTATGCTGGTGTTTTTGTTGTTGTTTTACCTTCTCTTCCACAGGGACTGCTAGCTAGGCATTTATGATAGTGGTGGTTGTGTTGCATTTCTCAGTACATTTGCCTCATATACTGAAAATAATCGTACTCTATCAGCTACCTGACAATAGTGCTTTGTCAGTGTTAACCAAGGGCTCTTAATCTGTATTTGTCCCAAAAGGGTATTTTTTTGTGTTAAAAATCTTGTTATGCCCATTAAAAACATTTTCTTAGGAAGAACATTTAATACAATTTCCGAGAGGAAAAAAAGTATTAATTGGGTGTCCCTTCTAAATGTCTTCAGTTTAAGACTCTGCAAAGAGTTGTGCACCACTCCCAACTTACATGTTTTATAAGACTAATAACTTACCGTAACCATAGGTTAGAATATTTTATGTGATATCAGGTGTTATTTGTTCACAGCAACCTTTTAAATGCTTTCACATGATGTTATAATAATTTTGGTCTTAGACTGAAAATGCTTTCCATAATGCTTCTCACTTCCTTTTTTACTCCCAGCTGGAAGAATGACTGTGAGGGTCATTGTTTGAGTACCTATTTTGAACAGTTTGTCTTCAGATCTGAAATATCTTCAAATTCCTCTTTGTCTCCAGGAGTCTGTTACTACCCCCTACCTCCCTCCTGCGGCTTCACTGTGCTGTATCTCATTGAAAAAGAAATAGGGATCCCTCCTCCCCAGTTCTTGAAAATAATATACAAATTTAGTCATTATTGTTCACACAAGGAACAGTTCTACAAAGAATTTATATTCCTTATTCTTAAATGCATTATAATTTATCACTGTTTCTTATACAAATCAGCTTATTAATATCTCTGGTATGTTTTTATTTTTCTGTAAGTCATCTCTTTCAGTCACTTGGTTTTTAAAATGGTTTGAAATATCAGATGAAACACTTTAGTAGTTTGGCAGAAATAAAGTTTAGCATCAGCAAGGTTTGATAAAAGATTTATTCTCTAGAAGGGACTTCATGACATTCATTCACCAGGTAATTTGTATGGTGTCCAGCTGTATTTTAATAACTAAAGACTTCACTTTTCAGGGAGTTGTCACTTAGAGTGAAAGCTTTTTTGTAGCAATTCAAAAGTCATTTAATTTCTTTCTCTTCTAGTCTTTATGAAAACTGGACCAGTTTTTAAAAGTTTTAAGGGGGTAGAGTGGATCTCTTAGTTTCCATAATTCCGTTTATTACATAAATACTTAGTGTCCTCTTGGGTGATCTTTTTTTTTTTTTCCGGTATATACTTTAGTGGATAGCTGTTACTATGAAATATTGGCAGTATTTCTGAAGTCACTATAACCTATAAGAAATTATTTACTATATCTAAATTCATTTTCTCATTTATTCAACAGAAATATCTGACCTTTTATGATGTGCTGGGCACTAGTTTAGCCACTGGGCTGAACAGAGAAAAAATCCCTGCCTTCATGATGGAGTATCTTTTACTTGGGGTGGGAAAAATACTGTGTGTAGAGAGAAAGAGTATGTAAATACATGTATATACACAAGATAAATATGTACATAAACCATATGTACACACACATACGAAATATATGCTGTGTGGTATAGTAGAAAGAGCTAAAGAGAATAAGCAAATCAGGAAAGAAGAAAACAGAAAAGCAGTTGGGTGTATTTTTTGGTAGTATAGTTAGAAAAGGCTAAGAAATAAATATTAAAGACTTGAAGTAGTGAGCCTTGTAACTCACTAGGGGGAATAGCATTACAGGCAGAGGGAATAGAAAATGTCTGGGCCCTAAAGCAAGAACCGTGTTTGACGTGTGCTAAGAATAGCAAGGAGCCAGTATGGCTGGAGCAAAATGAACAAGAGCTAGAGTAGTTGAAGATGACATCAGAAAGTAATAGAGGCTGATCAGTACCTCATTAATTATTTTAAGGACTTTGGCTTTTACTCAGAATGAGTAGGGAAGCCATTGCAGGACTTTAAGTAGAGGAGTGACATGATCCTGGCTTACACTTAAAAAGGATCATCCTGACTTCTGCAGTGAGAAGGAACTGTCAAGAGTCAGAATAGAAGGAGGTAAGAGTAAAGCAGAGAGACCTGATAGGGAGCTATTAGAGTAAGGCCGATAAGAAATAATGGTGGCTTAGACCAGAGTGATGAGAAATGGTCAGATTTATGAAGGTAGTTTCGACAGAATTTGCTGTGTGGCATGTAAAAGATAACTTCAAGGATTTTGGCTTGAGTAAATGGAAGATTGGAGTTGTCATTTAACAGAATGGTTAAGACTGCTAAAGAAGCAAATTTTGGTGGGGACATCAGGAATTCAATTTGGGAGATGTGTTAGACCTTCAGGAAGAGATGTTGGGTAGTCGGTAGATAGATATACAAGTTTAAGGTTAGGAGAGGTATCCTGGCTAGAGAGAGAAATTTGGGAGTTAGCAGCATATAAATAGGATGTAAAGCCATGAGATCAGAATAGAATACCTTAGAGAATGAATCTAAATAAAAAATGTGACCAAGTATTAGAGCACCTCTCAACTTTCAGTAGCCTAGAAGATGAGGAAAAGTGACCAAGAAAATAGGAGGGAAACTAGATTAGTGCTGTGTCCCAGAACCAAGTTAAGAAAGGGTTTCTATCTTTAGGAAAAAGTCATAATTTGTGTCAGATGCAATAAGTGTTCAGGTAAATTAACTGTTAATTAACTAATTGTTTTACCCATGTATAGAGTAGCAATGACCTGATAAATTGTTTTGATGGAATGATGGGCACTAAAGTCTGAAATGGAGTCCAGAAAAAATACATAGAAATTTGGAGTACTGACCGTAGGCAACTCTTTCAAGTAGTCTTGCTATAAAAGGAAGGAGAAAGAAAGCAATGGGAAAAGTTAGGGTCAGATAATAGAATGTTTGAATGCTGATAGGAACGAGCCAATGGAAAGAATAACTGATGATATGAAAGACAGGAGAGAGAATTGTTAGAATATTCCCCTTAGCAGATGTCTTTTAGTGTGCAAGTAGACTTCACTGTGGAAATATATATAATGTGATTGCTGGTTGGCATAAGGGTTCACATGAGATGACACTAGTCAGCATGGCTTTGCTTTTTTGTCTACCGATTTTCAGCTTTATGTGTGCAGGTGAAGAGTTGTATGTGACCAGGATTGTAGTTAAGGGTATAAATGATTGACAAGAAAATTTTAGCTAGTACAGAGGGACATGAAGATACAAGAGCTGAGGGACAGTGGAAATGTAGAATCAAGAGATAATGACAATAGGTCTAGGGAATGGGGGAGTTCAAAGGGTTGTTGGATTGTTGGGTACAACAGGGGTAAACTGAAAAGATAGGAGTGGTGGTTGGAAAATGGGGTATTTGAAATGGAAGTTATAAAAGGATTGCAGTTATTGGTAATAAGAAGGTCAAGGATTTCACCAAAGGAATGAGGGGTTGAGGGAGGGTGAAAGAAAGATCACTGGAGGAGAGAGGTTACTGAACTAAGAAGACAGGCTATTAATAGAAACATCATCTATGAACATACTGAAATCAAGAATTATGACAGGAACTGTAAAAGAGAGAGTGAAAATTAGCCAAGGGCAGAAGTCCTCAAATGGAAGGGAGTGATCTGATGGTCAGTGAATGACTAAAGCAGCTGGATGATCTAGAGGCAAAAGCTGACTTTTTAGGGAGGAGGGAGAGATAAGATAGTCTGGGAGCAACACTGAGGAACATGCTCTCTTATCCCTCTCCAAGCCTAATGGTATTGCAGCATGTGAGAAAGACAGAGGTCTACAAAAGGAAGCAGTCAGTCAAAAAAAAAGAGAATTGATTATCACAGTCCTTGATAGAAAAGGCCAACAGATTGTCTTTGTCAGTGGGTAGTCTTTTGGCTTCAGGTTCTGCCATTAC